ATTTGTGTATGAAAGAAAATTTCGTCTCTAAAAATGCATAAATTAGCAATATATTTGTTTGTCTAGAAAAGTCTGTAATTTCGTAGCTGAAAATTCTTTTTGAATTAAAATATGTGCTGTTTAGTGACAAAATTAATTTGTCATTGTATGTTATCTTAATGCACTCCTGAAACACTTTCAAACTAAATTTTTGTACACTTCTCACAAGCTTAAAAAGAACAGAATTACTGTTTTCGAACAAAACATTAATATCTAATGAATCTTGCATAAATTTATCAAAACGTACCATTAATCTAAAAAAGACAAAGAATACTTATAAATGAGATAAAACATATCTAATACTTGATAAAAATTACATTTATCCTCACTATATTAAGGTTGGTCCAAAGGTAAACCACAAACATAGTCTCAATTTATTGTCCTTTTCTTTACATCTTTTCTTTCTAACTTGAACACTATCTTCATTTCTTAGTGTACAAATCAAATCCCGCTCTTCATTCTTTGCAATGAATCTGCAAATCAAATTATGGTTATTTAATTATTACAGCAACGAACAAAAATAAAGTCAATAGTACTTAAATACAACATGGTTTAACCTTTAATAGTAGTTTTCATGAGTAAATATGTGAACAGTGGTGGATGCAGAATTTTCATTCAGGGGTTCGAAATATGAAGAAGTAAATACATAAAAATCAAAGTGAGGTGTTTGCTAAATTTTAACCGGTCTTATCATATGCCCATTTAATATATTTTTTCCATTTTTGCTCTCCACTTTTTAACTCTCACTTTGTAATGTCCTATTTTATTTTAATATTTTTCTTTCCAATTAATACCCCAAAAAATATAATTTTTTTTAAAAAGGTGCTAGGATTGAAGGATTAGTAACATAATACTTATAATACTTATTTAGTGCTCCATAACGACAACAAAATAAAAATATTGAACAATATCAATAATTATAGGTTGAATGATAAAAAAAATATAGGTGAAACGAACGAGTGAAATAACTCGATAACATAAACAGTAAAAGTTGATAAAATACAAAAAAATTATATATGTAAAACTAGTCAAATATATAAATATTTTTAAACAAGTGTGACATAAAACATATAAAGAGAGAGATATATATTGTGATTTTTTTCTTAGTTGAAATTAGAAATTTAGCTAAGGATATAAATTAGTATTGAGAACATACGAAAAAGAGAATTTGAAATATCTTTTATTTCAATTATATGAAGAAAAAAAATTACATACATAATATTTTAGATGCAATATCTAGCAAAATAGAATTTTTTTTAGCTATTTTTAATTTAAATAATAAATACATGCAAATGTACACTAATTAAAAGTGGAGATAGTCCATTGTGCATTAAAGACGATAAAAGAGTGAGGAAGGACAAACAAAGCTCACTTATTAAAAATGAAAAAGGAGGGAGAAAAGACCAAACTTTAAAAAAAAAACTACAAAAAAATGATGTTAAGGGGAAATGAACTTGCAACCTGCGAGAATTAGAACTTGAACCGCCTAGACAACTGAGCCACGCCTTTCAGTTGCTTTAAGGGGGTTCATTTAATATTATATACACATAATAATCAAATCTGACCTTGTATATACAGTGTAATTTTTCGGCCAAGAGGGTTGAGATGAACCCCTAACTTACACCTAGATCCGCCCCTGTATGTGAACCATCATTGTACCCTCTAATTATTCATAAAAAGATACCAAACCCATTTGAAACACTGGAAATGTAGGAAAAAGAGGGACAAAAACAAATTAATTATGTAAGAAAAATAAGTCTTACCGCCAAACATAGCACTCAACAAAGCAACCATGATGATATCTTCAATTATTCAATGGCTTTGGAAGAACTTAAATTCTCTCTCCTTTGTTCCTACTCACATCGTATTGATAACGATCAAATATTCAGCGCGTCCACCCTACGCTCCTCCTGATGGAGGTGCCGGGGCGGCAGCAACCGGCAATGTAACCCACAGTTCCCATTCTCCTCTTGGTGGAGGCAACTACTAATGGAAAAACTACTGGATAATTTTCTTATGTAGCTTCAATCAAAGACCCGTCCACATTGAACAACCCTCAAAATTTCCATAAAAGAGAATAAGTTAAAGCCAGGTACACCACCCACAATGGCATTCCAACCATCATTTTCAAAGCTTCGGATTACTATGGAATTATGGCGGAAGAACGTATGTACACCCTGGTGAGGTGATTTCTAAAACCTAGACCTCAAATTGATCGAATTCGATCAAGATTTAAGGATGATATCCACTAAAGTGTCGGCAAAAATAGGGGTTTATGATAATTACAATGTTTTCATCTATTTGATTAATGCTGAAGATTATCAGAATGTTTGGTTCCGAAAGGTCATTAAAATAGATGAAATGCAAATGTGGCTGCAAAAATGGTATCCCAATTTCAAACCGGGATCTACCCGTCGCTCTGGCATGGGCGCTTCTCCCAAGTTTACCCTTTCACTTACACTCATGGCATTATGTTTAATAATTGCTAAATTCAGTAGGTACTCCTCTAGCTCTCCAAAATACTGCAAAGAATGTAAGAAATTGGGACGTAACATCATGAATTGTAGAGTCCGAGAAAAGAATAATATTGAGCAGAGGAGGAAAAAACTCAGCCAACTAATACTAATGATCAAAATTGCAACATTAATGAAGGACATAAGAACAATAGTACTGCGAAACAAGGGGAAGATCACAAAGGGGGACCAAACAAAGGGAAATAAATAGATCATGTGGAGCAATCTGCCACAAAGGAAGAAAATCAAACTAAGGCCATGGAACAAACAATTACCGATATGTCAGAACAAATTATTGATATTGCTAGAAAAGGAAACAAGAAAAAAAAGAACAAGAAAAAGAATACCAAGAAGCTCCCTAAGATGAAAAACATAGTGTTGTTAAAACATGTTCTACCACAGAAGAAATACAAGAAACATTCTGATAACATGGATATCAGTAAGAAGCACAAGAAGAATTGTCTTTCCAAATTGTTGAAGAAGTGGAAAACAGAAACCAAGAGCAGAGGCAGAATACTGAAATAGAGAAGCATGACGAGCAACAACAAGAGAATGGAGAACAAAGTAGTGACAGACACAATAGAGCACAACTGCGTAGGTGATCAAACTCATGTCGGTAATGTTGGGTTTTGGGCCTTTTTCCCTTCCTATGTGGATAAATAAAAGTCTAAGGTTTTTGGTCTTCCTTCCTTTCGTTTGTGGATAAATTTAGCTCAATATGACTATCCCACTTTTGTCCATAAACTCAATATTATGGTGCATTTGTAAGACTTTCTTTTAGGTCTTATTTGAGAACAATCACAAGAGTTTGAGAGCAGCCATATAGAGAGAAAAGTAAGAGTTGCGATTTTTATAAAAAGTTGTGACTTTTATGAAAAATTGTTAGTTTTATGAAAGGTTATCACCTTTCCGAAAGGTTGTAACTTTTTCAAATAGTTGTGACATTTACGATATGACACAATCAGCATTTGTTCACACTACCTTTTGTTGTCTATAAATAGAGAGATTTTCTCTCACTTTTTTGAATTTCTTTTATTCAATGTAGGTCGTCAATTAACCACTTGAACTTTTTTTTTATAATGAGTTTAGGTATTGAACAATTTAAGTAGCCTTAAATCTATGTTAACATTAAGATATATTTGACCAACAAAAAATTAGAAATACACTGTGACATCAAGGTTCTCCTTAATGGTACATCACACCTCAAATTTAATAATACTTTATATATATATATATATATATATATAATATCGTCCAACGGTTATTTATCTTTACCCAATTACATGAAATAAACAATCTCATAATAAGACAAGCGTACAATAGGAAAGAATTTTTTTTGTAGAATTTTAAATCAAACACAAGATTAAGTGGAAAGCAATGAACCAAACACTTAATAAAAAATAATCCCTGCATTACTAAATTATGCATTGCTAATCTTTACATTACTAATTCATGTGTTACTAATCTTTGCATTATCAATGCTTGTAACAAATGATCCTTTTAAGTGTTGAAAAACACTTGTGCAAACCCATATTAGAGTGATCTTGTGACATTCTCTTGGAGTATTTGAGATTAATTAGAATAGCATTGTACTTTGTACTCTTGTTTATAGTGAAATTGATCTTCTCTGCATGTGGATTAGGTGTCACCAATCGAACCACGTTAAATTTGTGTTTTCTTTGCTTGTTTTACTTTCAGTATTATCATTTTACTCCCCCCCTCCCACGTCATATTTTAGATGACATCCTTTCCTTTTTAATTCATTCCTAAAAAAATATCACCTTACTAAAACTAAAAATAATTTAACTTTCAAATTCTTCTTTTACATTTAATGAAATGATTTACAACCACACAAATATTTAAGGCTTGTTTTATACCACAAGTTTCAAAAGTTTTCTTTTTTTCTTGAACACCTATAACACTTCCTAACAAAGACGACTCCATACCTAAGGGACTCGAATCCGAGACATCTGATTAAAGAAGAAATTTATCACTCAATCAGAACCCTTGGTGGTGCACTACCCAGATTTTGGTCCTTGGAATGTCAAGAAGGGGAGGTTATTTTTAAAAACAAACTAAAAAAAAGTAAGACAAACAAATCGAAACAAACATGTCACCCATAGGAATGGGAGCAAATCTTTGGATAACATTATTTTTATAATTTATTTAATATTTCATTGTCTTCAAATTAAATGCTCCAAAAAAGGATATCAAAAACAATTCTTTTGCTAAGAAAAATACAATTGCTCCAACAACCCTGCATAGGGCCGCTGCCTCTGTTTCACCAATATCTGCTTCTTGGTGATTTATGTAAGAACTTATCCAAATACTAATAATAAATTAGCAGCCCATATCATATCACATCTTACATTCAGAGCAGAGCAGTATAAATGAAGGTAAAGTTGGTGAGCAACTACTCATCTTTAATTATACTTTTCTCTCTTTTGTTAAACAGTCATAGTGAGTTAATTGGGTCTTGTTCTTCATCACCTAGGTAATGACTATTGACTCATGCTCAACTTCTGTTGCGTCTACTATCTTAGTATTTAGTTTTCAATTAAAACTTTTTGTGTAGAGATAGGAAGGAAATGTTCTTAAAGTGGTGACATCCCTTTTTGTTTATTTTATTGCATCTCCACTTTGTTATTTTCCACATGAGTGAAGTAGTTGGAGACATTTAAATTATAATAATGTTATCAATGTCAGTTTCTTTTCCAAAGTCTTTTTTTTTAATTAATACTCATGTACTTAATTATTTGTCCATTTTTAAATTGATATACCTATTAAGAAAATAATTATTGACATAGTGAGTTTACCATTTTACACATATTAATTATAAAGTGGATGAATTAAAAACTTAAGATTTTCAAAAAGTTTTCTTTTTTCAAAGTAATTGATTGAGGGTATATAGGTAAAAAAAATTTCCGTCATTTCTTGATTTGTCAAAATGGACAAGTAATTAGGGACAACTATAAAAGAAAAAGTGGACAAGTAATTAGGGACATATGGAATATATCAGATATATTAGGTGATACATCATTTCTTGTTTAATACTACCTTTGTCCACTTTTATTTGTCATAGTTTTTTTTTTTAAAGTCAAACAATAAAAACTTTGACAAATATTTTATGATGTATTTTTTCAATATGCAAAAAATTGCAATTTATAGTGCTCTTCGTATAATTTTTGAATATCTAAAGTTTTTGTTTAAAATATCAAATTAATGTAATTTAATTTAATTTTGAAAATTAGTCAAATTGATTTTCGAAAAGGACAACATGACAAATAAAAGTGTACAGAGGAGTATATGAAGGAATGATTGATCACTCTTTACTTGAAAACATAATATTGCATAAAAGGGAAAGAACAAGTGCAATCTTTCCCCAAAATAAATGCGATAATTTACTAGAAGAATACACAACTTCATTAAATTTATGCATGTTACTCAATAAACACTTTAGTGCAAACACAATCTATTGTTTGGCCAAGTAAAAGTCATATATGTTTATATTGTAAACCAAACTTGTTGAATAAAAATTCATGATGAAGTGACATGTATGTTTGGCGCAGGCAGGCGTCAAATAAGTAGGACATGATGGTGAATGAAATGGTTGATGATGAACCAAAATCCCTAGGAAGGTGTTCTGTGTTTACTTATGCTGTGGGACACATGCTGAATGATATAACATCTTCCTGTTGGTATACATATCTCTTGCTCTACTTGACAGATATTGGATTGTCCCCAAGGTTCCTACTTTATTTGTTAACTCACTCAATATGAGTCTTTCTTCCCCTATTTTTTGAGATTCATCTGTTAATTAAGCCTCTTTAATTCACAGCAATGCCGCAACAGTCACACTTACTGGTCAGTTTGCTGATGCATTTACGACCATAATAGCTGGTGAACTGGTATATATATTCCATTTGATTTTCCATGTTTCCTATACAGAATTATTCTTATATATGCTTTGCAGTATGTGCTACATCTATTCATGAAGAATAACTACTGCCTTTTATGTCTCTGTCTTATGGAAACATCGTGTTAAGCTTAACATCCCGTGCTAGAATTAGTTAAACTTAGCTAGTTCATGTTAGTGCAGAACTGCAGATAAGTACATTATCTGTTTCTAACCTGCTCAACAGTATTATAGCCCACCATTTTGAAAGTCACTTATGTACTTAATTAAATATACATAACATATTTTTCTCATTTGATCTATAACTAATTCATTTTCATTTACGGATCAAGAAAAATAAGTTGGGGGATAAGTGAGAAATTTGTGCTATATAACATAATTTTCCGACTGATTTCTCACCGAACCAGCTCATTGTTAAAATGCATAGTGGAAAATAGATTTTCACAGAAATAGTGGGAAACTTCCTAATTTTTCAGTATGAAAATATTAACATTTTGTCTTTCCTTACCGATTCAATCAAAATATTTGTGGAAATAGCCCCGGATCATTTTTCAATGGAAAACTTCAGCGGGAAAATAGTGATATTTTAGTAGTGAGCATTTAACCCTGCAGCCTTTTTACTTTCCTTTTATGCTGCAGATAGACAGGTTTGGTCATTTCAAAATATGGCATGGCATGGGATGCCTGTTAGTTGCTCTATCGTTTACATCACTCTTCGGTGGTTGCCTCCCTTGCAAAATTCTTGGGTCTGATTCACCTGTCGTTCAAACCGCTGGTTACTGCATATCTTCTGTGATTTTCTGCAGTGGATGGTCTTGCACTCAGATATCACACATGTAATCTCCTGAGCTTATCCACTTCAACGTGTTACAATCTTTGTTGTACAAATGGCTGGCGTAGTACGGAATGCTATATGGTTTCTCATCCATTTGTCTCTCTTTCTAACTATATGTTTCTAAGACTAGAACTAAAATCTTTAACTATCATTTCGATCTTCAAGAGCTTTCTATGGGGGTTTTTTTTCCATCTCTTTTTTTATCATGAGCTAGAAAATAAGAAAAACTTTTGTATTCTGTCATGCAGTGACGCACATACTCTTATCTCTATTACTTGATATGTCCACTTTTATCTATGCGAAAAAGTCCAGGACAAGGACTCATGGCTAAATGTTTATTGCAGGTCAATGGTGAATGGAGTCACACTAAACCCAACAAGCAGAGTAGCCTGTGTTAGCTGTCGCAATGCTTTTACTATGGTTGGATATTTTCTATACGATCAGTTTCATTTACTGATACCGATATTTTCTATGTGATACTTGGTATACTAATCCCTTTTTCCCTCTTTTACCATTTCCCTGAAAAATATTGGTCAAGATTGCAAGCCTAATCTTATATGTGATCGTATTTTTCGTCTTCAATAAGGAAACTTCTAGTTCACAGGTTGACATTAAGAATCAGGTACTTAATTTTAATCAAATGCTCATCTATTTTTTCAAGTTTTTACAATTGGATTAAATTTTGACTAAAGAAATAATACATGCAGTACCAATTGATGGTTTATATTTCGATTTTCATTGGAGCAGTCTTCGTGATTATATTTCAGCTTGGAACTAAAGAACCGAGGTTTGCTACATTTTTCCAATCCCATTTGGTAGTATTATATGTTTGTGTTTAATTTATCTCACTATTAACTCGTTATTGCTTTAGCAGACAGTTAATGTTGTAGTATTTTGTGCAGTTTAAAACAAGAATCTAATGGGAAACGTGCTACAGCTTCGTGGACATACTGGTTGAAGAAAGTCCTATATTACCAAGTACTTAGCATCTATGTGTTAACTCGAGTTGTGACTAATGTCTCTCAGGTCAGTATAAACCTCATCTTTTGTTTTGTTTTAGTTTTCAACTCTCAAATACACAGTATTGCATTGCTCGGGTCACCTAATTTTTAGTATGTGTATTTTTTTTCTTTTTTTGGTTCAGACCTTCTTAGCTGTTTACGTTATCAATGATCTACGGATGAGCCCATCTTCAAAAGCCTTGGTATGGGCCTTACCATCAAATTTAAATAAGGTGCTCTTCTTTTGAGGAAAAAATTTCAATTTATTCTAACTAATCAATCTTATTCATGTGAATAGATTCCTGCCATCATCTACTTATCAAGCTTCGTTGCGTCTGTCCTCCTGCAGGTTCTCTTTACCATTCAGTTCATATTTAATTCTTTCCCAGACTCATTTTTTCTGTTCATGCATAAACTATTTTGATTGCTATTTGCTTGTAGGAGCTCAAATGGAGTGGTGAACGGTTGAAGGCCTTCTTTTCCGCTGGGGGTCTCCTTTGGCTATTTTGTGGAGCTGTAGTAATTTTCCTCCCAATAAACATGCATGCTTTTATGTATGTCTTGTCCATACTTATTGGCATAGCAAACGCGTTGATGATGGTAAGTGAGGTTTTTTTAAAAAAAATTCTAGATTGATTAGTCGGTATGTATAGTTAGTTACCTGTTTATTGTATGTTAAACTATCACATGCTTAGATTGCAAACAAAAACCTGTTGGTATAATTTCTATCAACAATTATCCAGCTTGGTTTAGGCAATTAATTAGACATTTCATAATTGTGATGTATCATTCTGAATCTCTTTTTCTTTTAATGAAAACTAGAAAATAGACAATAAAGGAGCAATTGTATTAGTAAACAGACTTTTATATGCTTTATTTAAGTTCCTAGAAAAATGAAACTGGTCGTGAATCAATTGCAGAGTATCAGACATCAGTGCGTTCATCGCTTGTTGCTGCAAAGTAACTATGAGTTGATAAGCAAACCGGTTCATATGTCATATATCATATATGTGTGTTGCTATATGATAGAAGTTTTTCATTTTAATGTCAGGTAACAGCAATAGGAATGGAAAGCGAGCTAGTTGATGAAGATCTTGATGGATCTGCTTTTGTTTATGGATCATTGGGCTTTATTGACAAAGTTTTATGTGGAGTGTTTTTGTACTTTCTTGAGTCTTATGAGAGTAAGCATCTGGTTCCCCTCTCTCCGTCTACTATGTCCATGCACGTCTTAAAAACAACAATTTTCTTAGGCATAATATATAAGCGTCTCTTTAACTTGGCATCATCTAGCATCTATATATACACTCCAACTTTGGGTATGTACATGTAGATATGTAAACTTGTATAGAGTTGATCAAGTAGATACATATGTCCTACTTGTTGTCCAATGTGACAATTTGCATCTTACTGGCGTCCTACATGTAGAGCACGTGCATCTAGTTATTCAACTTTATACAAGTTTAAGTGTCTACTTATGCACACCCAAAATTGGAAGGCATAGATGCAAGCGATGTCAAGTTAAATGATATATTTTGTATTACGCATTTTCCTTATGTCATTTCTTGAATTCTTTCTTTGATTATGCTGAAGAGAATCTATACTAATTTGCAAAACTTACCTAATAACTTAAGCATTATAAGTTCATTGATCATTGAAAGTGATAATGTATCAAAATCCTTGTAAAAATATTTCCCTTTCCAAATTTTGTTCAACGATTTGCTATCAACAAAGGAAAAATGTTGTCATAACATATTCTGGAAGACATTGTTCTTCTTTGTTAAACTTAATGAGTCTTTTTCGAATGTCTATCAAGTTTGATTCAGGTTAACGATAAATTAACTTGAGCTTTGTTCTGAATAATGCAGGTGCAGATCCTGTTCCCTGTGACCTAACATATCCTTGTTTCTCCGTTACACGATTTTCTCTAGGTTTCATTCCAGGGATTTCTGCTTTAATTGGAGTCGTAGTCGCATTCTTCATAAGGTTCCACACACCCAATCCTAAGACACTGAGAGAACCCTTCTTGGCATAGCTCTCAAGGACTAAACGTGCAATAAATTCAGGGTGGGGGGGGGGGGGTAAGTTGACGTGGTGGCATAGGACAGAGTATGGCCAATTAGAGCTGAATTCAAGTTTGAGCTATATTTTCACTGGTGTATTTGTGAGTAGTCATTGTTATTATAGTTTTAAGAAAGCAATATTTTATGGTGGCCAATTAGTCCCGAATTCAAGTTTAAATTGTTTATTCAACTAGAGATATACTTGAAATAGAGGTGCATATCGGTCGGTTCGGGTTTTGAAGTTTATCGGTTTGACTTATTGGTTATCGATTTGTAGAGATGATAAACTGTTATAGAACCATTAAGATCTTGGTTTATCGGTTATTGATCGTTATCGGTTTAACTGTTAAGATTTGACACCAAAAAGATACATTGAAAATCACTTAGAAACAAGGTGATAAACCAAATGAAAACTGTGCACATGAGTTTACAAGTTACATCTTGTTCAAAAGCAAACATTTTTACATTGTAGAATAACCAAGAGTTTGAGAAAACCACAAATAAAAGTAGGAAACGAAACTCTAAGTCAAAGACTTTAGATACAAAATGGTATAAATATAATTATTTAATTTATTATCGGGTTATCGGTTAACCCGTTAAGAACCGATAACCCGATAACCAAAAAGATCAAAACCGTTATCTAAACCGCTAAACCAATAATCCATTATTGATAAACCAATAAAAAAAAATCGGTTCGAATTATCGGTTTCGGTTCGATTTTGAACAACCCTAACTTGAAAGGTATATTCACCGTGAGTGGTGTAACCAGAAATTTTACGAAGAATATTCAAGGCATAAGTAATTTTATTTTTTTTGAAAAGTGGATGCGCCAATTTTATTTTTTTATGTCAAGCTATGTCATATTAGTGATTGACTTTTTTTGTTGGAGAATGCTCCAAAAATTTTAAAATATCAAAATTTTAAGTTCTAAGTTTTCACTGGCCTTTGGCAATGGTAACAAAAGTAACGAGACATAAAGTAGACTCAAATGAATCTTTTTTCAATTTCCTTATGTACCATTTTCTCTTTCAATTTTGGTAAAGTTGTAGCATTAATTTTACGTTTTATTTAAATTTTTAATGAAAAGTAAAAATAAGTAAAAAAAGAAAACACATTCATTTGGCATCACTAATTAAGAATTATTTTAATAAATTACAATTCAAAAATAACAAATTCATCAACAATTTTAATTACTTAATTAATAAATTTAGAAAGTAATGAATTATCATTATTTTAAGGGCGAGACATTACTTAATTAAAGCTTTTTGAAAAATAACATAACTACTTGCGGTGAGAAAGAATCAAACCTACAAACACATAGGCCCTGACTCTTCATGGAGTCTTTCTATCACTGAGCTATCCTATAATGTCCCTCGTGGGTTATTTTTGCGTTTCACATGTTTTTACCATTTTGTCCCTTCGTGTAGCTTCCTTATCGCTTAGGTGTGATGTTGGGTTTGATGGCATGCTTCCCGAGTTGTTTGGTTGTATTTGGTTCTAGTTTTTGAGTTTGGAGGCTTTAAGATTGAAAGAGTTGACTTTAGTCATCAACATATAGATATTTTGGCATCGGATCGGAATTCCGTTAGTTTCATCATTTCCGAAAGGGTCTTTTTGGTCTAGTATGTGGATCGGTACGGGTTTTGAGGCTCCGGTTAGAGTTGGTGCGAATAGCGTTTTAGCTTTAGAGCTTTGCCTAAAGTTTAACTTTGGTCAATTTTCTTGGTAAAAGTGCTCAGAATCAAATATCTTCAGTGGGGCTAGCCCCGGAATGCCGATCTTGGTCAAGAATGACCTTTGGTTCAGTTCCGAAGCTATCGGGTTAAGTGTCTAGCTTTTGGCATTTTGTTTGTGTTTCTTTGTTAAGTGTTGACTTTTGTCAATATTTTGACGAAACGACCTTTGTCAACATTTTGACCATCGCTGGTACCTAAGCGAACCCTTGGCCTGACTGACTACTTAGTGAAAGACTTCCCCAAATAGAAATAGGATCTTCAATTGCATAATTAAACTTAAAGTCTAAATCAAACTCAACTAAAATGAACATCTGGAAATACTTATGAAGTTATAAAATCAATTGTCTCAAGATCTTAAAACATCTCAACAGGAAGAGGAAATAACAACAGAGTCCTCAACATCTAACTATCTATCAAACCTCTAATACTAAGATAGATGTCGGGACAGAATCCACGACAACCTAACAAAAGCAAGAAATAAGTGTGAAGCCCTCCGAAAAGAAATGAGGCTCACCAAAGATAGTTGGAATGCAAATGGTATCAACGAAGCGCCTTTTGATGACCCTGAGCACCTGTATCTTTCATGAAAAAATGTAGGCCGAATGACGTCAGCACATTGAATGTATAAGCATATAAGGGGAAAACTGCATAGACAACTGAAATGATAAGACTGGAAGACAAATTCACCTCAACTCAACTCCAATATAATAGGAATAATAAGAGATGCAATGTTTAATCATCATAAAACAAAAGATATAAACTCAATGATATATAAAAATATAATAAGATACTCTTTAGTCTTATTTGGGAGGTTCTCTAACAGACAACCATCATTATGAGCTATGTGATGATGCATTGTCTCGCCCACGTTGCCAGAACTTTCCTATACCTTGCCGGGGAATAGAACACCTCAACTAAGTGGATCCACTAAGCTATGCTTAAAAGCAATAAGGAATTGTCTAAAAAGTAAGCCCATTACCTATGTTGGCTACATGGTTTATGATGAATGTAAGTTGTCTGAACTCATTTCTATATCGATGCTCAATACTACTCCTAATAATATATAACTCATGCTCAAATGTATAAAACATAACTATTTCTCAATTTGAGCTAATTACTCAATAGATTCTCTTAAAGGAGGTAATGCTCTGAAATATCTCTGAACTCATAAACTTATTTAGAAATCAAAGTTTCTCTCTTTTAAATGTTGATAAGTATTATTGTTCCCAGATGTTTTGATGATCTCCTCACAAATGCAGGGACCCGGTCATGTGCAGAGTGTGCTCGTCTAGGTCCATGTGCTATACAGGTGGAAAACTGTCGCGTCAGAGGTTGGTGAGGTCATCAGAGTACCACACCAATCAGAATGGACGAGGTTGTTTGTCCAACGGTTAATACTTCTTTATGATTGATATACTCAACATCACAAACAACAAATTAGATCATTCATTCAAAGAGAGAACATTCAAGCTTCAACAAAACAACAAGGGACCTTATAGACTGACGATTTGCTTCTTGAACCTGCTGTTATTTTGATTGCTTGTATTTGTGCTTACATTGTAGGATTCGTTTCACTTGTGTTAGAAACATTTCAAAACTTGTGTGAATCACTATAAGAACTTAGTTGAGGGAAACTTTGTGTCTTACGTTAAAAGTCTATATTAATCAGTGAGGGTTAGAATAGTAGGCAATGCAAACATTGATTTGGCTCATTAAGTAATAGTTTGTATTACTTAGAATAGAGACTAGGAGGTTAATCTCTTGTGTGGTTGTAAACTGTGTTATACTTTTGCTTGAGAAGAATAGTAAAAACAATTTGAAAATCCTGTGAGACAGGTTGTGATTTTACTCCCTTGAGCAAAGAGGTTTCCATGTAAAGTTGTGTGTGCTATCTTTTCTTTTAGTAACTTCTTTTGTCTATCATTACTGTGTTAAGGGCTTGGTCCTATCATAGCTAGTGGATGCATACATTCCAACAAGTGGTATCAGAGCTTTACTTTTCTATTTGGGTAACACCAAGAAAAGAAAAGATCCTAAAGAAATGGCTGCTCCACCAAGCCTGGAAGAAGGTCAGTCCACCACTAGACCACCTCGATTCAATGGGCAATTTTTATGGATGGTGGAAGACGCGCATGCATGACTACATCAATGTTGAAGATACTGAGCTGTGGGATGTTATTCTTAATCGATCATACATTCCCACCAAAGATGTAGTGGAAGGAGAACTCACCAAAGTGATTCCCAAAACCAGAAGGGAATACAATGAAACTGATAGGAAAAAGATAGAAAAAAACTATAAAGCAAAGAAGCTGCTAGTATGTGGGATTGGTCCAGATGAGTACAACAGAATCTCTGCGTGCGAGACGGCTAAAGAAATATGTGACTGTCTCAAAACAGCTCATGAAGGAACGACCTAAGCAAAGGAGTCCAAGGTAGATATGCTAACCACTCAATATGAGAATTTTCAGTATGAAGGAAGGTTAAACCATCCACGAGATGCATACAAGGTTCACTTCCATTACGAGCTGAACAGGCAACAGGGGCAACTGTGAAGGAAGGAAAGAAGGAAAAATTAGTAGCTTTGAAGATGTCTCAGGATGATGGGTCAAAAGAGGAGGATGAGATGGCATACCTTACTAGAAGGTTCCAGAAGATAATCAAAAAGCATGGAGGTTTCCAGAAGAAAGGGTTTACAACAGAGTAGCAAATGCAAATGATCTTTACCGCAAATGTGGGAAGCCTGGACATTTCATGAGGGATTGTCAAAGCCAGAAGCAGGAAACTCAGGACTTCAAACCTCGTAGAAGAGACCAGGTCCCAGACTGCGCTAAAAGACAGGCTCACGCTGATCAAGTAGTGAAGAAAGCCTTTGCAGTCTAGGAAAATGGCAATAGCGAATCTGAGGAAGAAGAAGACAGCCATGAAAATGTCTCGATGATGGCTGTCAAAGATGATAAAACCATTTTCAACTCCATTTTCTCACTGATGGCAAAATCGGACGACGAAGAGAACCAGGATGAGGTAACCCTTTTTTATCTCAAAAAGTGACCTAGATACTTTATCCATTAAAAGATTGAGAAAACTTGTTGCAGTGCTAATTGACTCAGTAGATGAATTAATCATTGAGAATATGTTGATAAGTGAAAAACTGAGTCTGTGTGAGGATGAAAACACAGCCCTTAACTTTCAAATGTCTGAAATAAGTGTTAGGATAAGTATTCTAGAAACTGAGAGTCTGCAGCCCAACGAGGGACCTAGTACCTCTGAGGGTGGGAAATGAAAACTCAATAGCTTTGAGGTCGAATTAGAAGAGAAGTTAAAGGCATCTGAGTCTAACTTAGCTGCCTCTCTTGAAAAGAATTCTCAATTAATGAAGGACCTAAGTAAGATCAAAGAAGAATTGAACCATTCCCTGAAATAGACTGATTCGTCTAAGATCCTTTCAAACTTATCTAATCAGAAGTTCAACAACAAAAAGGGCTTAGGTTGTTGACAGATAGAACCTCCCTACAATCCTCACAGTAAATATGTCTTTGTCTCTGACAATCTTGTGTACCCATTGTGGAAGAAATGGTCATCTGAAGAAAAATTGTGAGTCTCTAAAAAGAGTAAAAGAAATCCAGGAGAACTTCCTCAAGTCAAGAAAAAAGAAATGTAGAAAAGAAAAAAGGTACCTGGTCCCAGCTACCATGTTAGCAAGAATACTTTGCCCCCATGGACAGGAAGGTTTCTTATTAAACCTTTTGTCAGTTTTTGGGAACTCCATCTCAAGTGGGTTCCTAAGTCTAATAAGTGGTTCTTGTGCAAAGTGAGAAAGCAGTCAGTGCTGGTACATGGACAGTGGATGCTCAAACCATATGACTGAAGACACTAAAAAATTCATCTCTTTGGAAGCACATCAGGGCGGTGGTGTGTCATTTGGTGATGGTAAAAAGGGTTTCATTCTCGAAATTGGGAAAATAGGAAGATCAGCAGAACGTTCCATAGACAATATTCATTATGTGAATGGTTTGAAATACAATTAGTTAAGTGTATCTCAAATATGCGATACGTGAAATGAAGTTAAATTCTTGTCTGACAGGTGCCTAGTTACTAACTGTGTAACTAACAAAGTTGTTATGTCTGCCAAAAGAGTCAAAAATATGTATGTTACAGATATTGACTCAATAAAAGGGGACAATCTCACATATCTAAGTGCTCAGACTGACAATGCAAATCTATGGCATAGACGATTGGGACATGTGAGCTCGTCATTGCTGAACAAGCTTGTTGCAGGGACCTGGTCCACATACTGCCTAAGCTGAAGTTCTCTGACAATAAAGTTTGTGATGCCTGTGTTAGGGGGAAGCAAACGAGATCATCTTTCAAGCCCAAGAAAGGTGTAAGCACAACCAGACAGCTAGAACTTCTCCACATGGATGTATGTGGACCTGTTAGAATTCAAAACAAAGGAGGCAAGAAGTACATTCTGGTAATTGTTGATGATTTCCCAAGGTTTACCTAGAATATGTTTTTGCAGACGAAGGAAGAGAGAACTGGATTACTGATCATTTTTTCCAAAGCAATTCAGCTGAAGGTTAACTGCAAAATTGCAAGCATTATATCAGACCATGGTACAAAGTTTGAAAATAATCAAATTGAAGGCTTTTGTGCTGAAAGTAGAATTCATCACAAGTTCTCTGAACCACGAACTCCTCAGCAAAATGGGGTTGTGGAGAGGAAGAACAGGACCTTGGTGGATATTTCTAGAACCATGTTGATTGACTCAGGACTTTCAATGAACTTTTGGGCAGGAGAAGTCAACACAACTATGTTACAAACAGATGTCTCATTGGGTCGGTAATCAAGAAAACCCCGTATGAGTTGCTGAATGACAGGAAACCTTCAATTGCTTATCTGAAGCCCTTTGGTTGCAAATACTTTATGTTGAACAATGGAAAGGATGATCTTGGCAAGTTTGATGACAGGAGTGCTAAAGGGGTGTTTGTTGGGTATTCCTCTACCAGCAAGGCATACATAATTTTCAATAAAAGAACTCTGTGTGTTGAAGAAAGTATGCATGTGATATTTGATGAATCTGATGATAAGAACAAAGTTGAACATAATAAAGACATTGAATTGGAGGAACTGATGAAGGGTCAACAAGATAGGGTAATCCAAACTCCTGGCCATGAATAGGTTTCAATGGAAGGAAACAATGCAGAACCCATAGAGGAACATGGTCCCTCTGGTGCAGTTCAGGAAGGAGACTCACAGAACAAAGAGCCTGAAGAAGATAAATCTATTGCTAATCTTGAAGAGGAGATAACAAGAAAGTCTGGATGGAAACATCAATCTTCTCATCCTTTGGACAATCTTGTTTCTCCACTTGACTCTGGAATACAAACTAGATCTAAAACAAGGAATCTAGTTGCGTATTCAGCCTTCATATCCACTATCGAACCTAGGAACATCAAAGAGGCCTTAAAGGATGCTGACTGGGTAACATAAATGTAGGAAGAACTTCATCAATTTGAAAGGAGCAAAGTGTGGCACCCATCATAGGGACTAGATGGGTCTTTTGAAGCAAGCTTGACGAGCATGGAATCATAACCAGAAACAAGTCAAGATTGGTGGTAAAGGGGTATAATAAAGAGGAAGGGATTGACTATGAAAAGACCTTTGTACCTGTAGCCAGATTGGAAGCCATCATAATTTTAATAGATTTTGCTACATACACGGAGTTCAAGATGTTTCAAATGGACATCAAAAGTGCCTTCCTGAATGGGTACCCTAAAGAGGAGGTATATGTAAAACAACCCCCAGGTTTTGAGGATGCTGATCTACCAAACCACGTGCTAAAAATTGGATAAATCCTTGTATGGTCTTAAACATGCTCCTAGAGCTTGGTATGAGCGCTTGTCAAAATTCCTCCTAGCAAATGGTTTTAAGCGAGGTATAATTGATAACACCTTGTTTTTGAAGTCCAGAAGTTAGGAGATGTTGATTGTGCAGGTATATGTAGATGATATTATCTTCGGAGCTACTTCAGATTCACTATGCAAAAAGTGTGCAGCCTTAATGAGTAGCCAATTTGAAATGAACATGATGGGGGAGTTTACATTCTTCTTGGGGTTGCAAATCAAACTGTCCCCTCAGGGTACATCAATATGCCAAAAGAAGTACATAAGAGAATTGCTTAAGAAGTTCAGCATGCTCGAGGCTAAGGTTCTTGACACTTCATGAGCACAAGCGTCAAACTTGACATGGATGAGGAAGGGATTGATGTTAATGAGACCATGTACAGGGTAATCATTGGGTCACTGCTTTATCTCACTGCCAACATGCCAGATTTAGTTTTAAGTGTAGGGATGTATGCCAGGTTCCAAGCAAGTCCAAAGGAATCACACTTTAAGGTAGCCAAGCGAATATTAAGATACTTGAAGGGAACACATGACATGGTCCTCTTCTACCCTTCTGGTGACTCCTTTGATTTAATTTGATATGCTGATGCTGACTATGCAGATTTTCTTGTTGATCAAAAAAGCACTTCAGGCATGGCGCATTTCTTAGGGTCATCACTGATATCATGGGGCACCAAGAAGCAAAATACAATGGCTTTATCTACTACAGAAGCAGAATATGTGACTGCTGCATCATGATGTGCTCAGCTTTTGTGGATCAAGCAGCAGCTCGAAGACTTTGGTATTCTCACAGACACTATTCCTATAATATCCGACAATACAAGTGCAATGAACTTGGACAAGAATCTTGTCCTGCATAAGACGACCACACATAGATGTGAGACACCACTTTCTTAGGGACAATGTTGAGAAAAGCAATGTGGTGATGAGGTACTGCAAAACAGAAGATCAAGTGGCTGATATTTTCACCGAGGCATTAAGCAAAGAAAACTTCGTCAAGAACAGACTGAAGTTGGGGATGCACAAGATCACTTGATTCCAGAACAAGCTTGCATGAAACATCTCTTTTTGACTATGTTAGGGAGGGAAGGTATCTATACAAGTTGTATTACTTATCATTTGTGAATTCACATCTGGTACGTTACTGCAGGTACACACTCATGGAATGTTAGCTGAAGAAAAGATCTAATCATACATGCAGGGCAATCTATAGAGAGGGACTTGGTCCCCCAAAGGTTAGTATCACTTTTTGATACACAATTTTCTGTCAACGGTCACTGCCACATGTCTTACCCCTATTAATTGTGTCATTTTCAGGCGTCCTTTTACTTTAAAACAAGGAGTTGCTACTATTTGGGGACCCGATACCCCGTTAAATACAACTTTTTGAGAGAAACCAAACATCCCAAATTCATTCTATTCTCCCTTGAATTCCCTCATCGTTCTTCTAATATTCCTCTCCTCTCTCAAACAAAATGTCTAACTCTTCTTCTCCTTCGAGACTCCCTCTATCCCAAGAAATTGAAACTCCCAGTTCATTCAATTTCTCATTTCCTCCCCCACAAGAATCTCCGTCCACACCAATCTTTGGGGTTGGTGAGACTACTGAATTTGTCACACTCCATACTGAAGTGGTGGCGTCTCCTGTACTTAACTCTGGGGAAAATTTGCCTTGTTCTCCAACTTTAGTTCTATCCGGTAAAGAGTCCCAAAATTTTGAGGCCCGATCCATTGTGAAGCCCACTCTTGAGACATCCTCTGAATATCTATAAGTTGTGTCCATGGCTATGTCATCTACCATGTCTGAGCGGTTATTTGAAGGGGATTTGCCTGAGGGCAAGGGTACAAAGTCAAATAGTTTAGCAACGGCAGAGGAATTGGTGGCAGTCCAAAGTTTGGCCTCTCTCAGAGGAAACATTCAACCAACTCTGTTGGAACAAGAGTTAAGATCACCGAAACAGGTAAACACCGATGGCATGTTGGCTGAAGGGAAGATCTAATCATACAGGCAAGACTATGTATAAAAGGACCTGGTCCCCCAAAGGTTATTATCAATTTTTCCTACGCAATTTTCTATCAACGGTCACTGCCACATGTTTGCCCCCTATTTACTGTGTCATTTTCAGATGTCCTTTCACTTTAAAACCAAGAGTTGCTACTGTTTAGGGACCCGATACCCCGTTAAATATAATTTTTTGATAGAATCCTAACATCCCCAATTCTTCCTATTCTCCTTTGAATCCTCTCATCGTTCTTCTAATTATCCTCTCTTCTCTCAAACAAAATGTCTAAGTCTTCTTCTCCTTCGAGACTCCCTCTCTCCCAAGAAATTGAAACTTCCAGTTCATTCAATTTCTCATCTTCTCCCCCAGAAGAAACTCTGTCCACACCAGTCTCTGGGGTTGGTGAAACTCCTGAATTTGTCACACCCTATACTGAAGTGGTGGCGTCTCCTGTACTTAACTCTGGGAAAATTTGCCTTGTTCTCCAACTTTAGTTGTATCCGATAAAGAGTCCCAAAATTCTGAGTCCCGATCCATTGTGAAGTCCACTCTTGAGACACCCTCTGAAGATCTAGTAGTGTTGTCCAAGGCTGTGTCATCTACCATGTCTGAGCGATATTTGAAGGGGATTTGCCTAAGAGCAAGGGTACAAAGTCTAATATTTTAGCAGTGACAGAGGAATTGGTGGCAGCCCAAAGTTTGGCCTCTCTTAGAGGAGACCTTCAACCAACAATGTTAGAATAAGAGTTAAGATCACCAGAACAGGTACACACTCATGTCATGTTGCCTGAAGGGAAGATCTAACCAGACAAGCAGGGCTATCTATAGAGAGGGACCTGGTCCCTTAAAGGTTAGTATCACTTTTTGCTACATAGTTTTCTCTCAACGGTCACTTCCACGTGTCTTCCCCTCATTTAGTGTGTCATTTTCAGACGTCCTTTCACTTTATAACCAAGAGTCGCTACTGTTTGGAGATCCGATACCCCGTTAAATAAAACTTTTTGAGAGAATCCAAACATCCCGAATTCTTCCTATTCTCCCTTGAATTCTCTCATTGTTATTTTAATCTTCCTCTCCTCTATCAAACAAAATGTCTAACTCTTCTTCTCCTTCGAGGCTCCCTCTCTCCCAAAGAATTAAAACTCCCAGTTCATTCAATTTCTCAATTCCTCCCCGAGAAGAATCTCCGTCCACACAAGTCTCTGGGGTCGGTGAGACTGTTGAATTTATCACACCCCATATTGAAGTGGTGGCGTCTCCTGTACTCAACTTTGGGGAAATTTTGCCTTGTTCTCCAACTTTAGTTCTATTCAGTAAAGTGTCCCAAAATTTCGAGGCCCAATCGATTATGAAGTCCACTCTTGAGAAACCCTCTGAAGATCTAGAAGTTGTGTCCTAGGTTGTGTTTTCTACCATGTCTGAGCGGTTATTTGAAGGGGATTTGCCTGAGGGCAAGGGTACAAAATCCAATATTTTAGCAGCGGCAGAGGAATTGGTGGCAGTCCAAAGTTTGGCCTCTCTTAGAGGAGACATTCAACCAACTCTATTGGAACAAGAGTTAAGATCACCGGAACAAGTCCCTCATAGTGCTCAACCTGTGTTCAACCAAACTCCTAAATCATTTGATGTTGACAGTGAGGAGGAGGAGGAGGAGGAGGAAGAAGACACTCCTTTAGTCTGGCATAAAAAAAGGGTTCGAGGGAAAAATATTGTGAATATGACAATTTCAGATCCGGAAGCAGTTGATGTTGTGCCTGAGGCTAAACTTGACGATAAGCCTAACGAGTCTGAATGGAAAAGAAAAAGGAAGGGAAAAAGGAAAAATGGTGGATTCTCAGACCAAATGAGGAAGAAAAATAAGATATGTTACCAGAGGTGAGACTCAGAAATTAATGGGAGATGCTTTGGCGGCAAACGAGGTCTAAACGAAGAGAAATCAGAGACGAAAAAGGGATGGTCATGTGCCTACTGAGGAACCTACCTAAACACCTCTACATCTAGGGTCAAGTGAGATAGATTCTGATGAAATTGTTAGAGCTGTGGCTAAAGGGAAGAAGGAGGCAGAAGTTGAACGGGTCAAAGCTAAAAGGGATCCTAAGTCAGTGAGGAAATCACTAGTGAAGAAGGACAAGGTGATTAAAAAAGCTCCTGGGAAACCAAAACCAGTAAAGGGACCAGGTCCGTCCAATAGAGGACAAAGTGTTAACCAAGGAAGAGCGCATTGCAGAAATGGAGAAGCAAAAGGTGTTGAATGGGAAGGTGTTTTATCCAGAAATCCTCAGAGAATATGGTATGTCTACTCTTTTTGATTCTGTGTCATTGCAAAGTTGGGAACACCTGTTTGACGCTCCAACACCTTATCTACATGAGCCTGAAGTGAGGGAATTTTACTATAAGATGGAACTTCTCAATGATGGAGGGATCTAGACAAAAGTTAAAAAGGTCAAAATTTATTTGAATAAAGAGAGTCTGGGAATCATTTTGAGTGTTCCATCTGAAGGGATTAGTTCCATTGAAGTTTGCAAACCTGCTAGTGAGTTTACTGAATGGGCTACCAAGCGTGGGGATATAAAACGTGCTGGTTTAACCAAGAAATTCCTCTTAAGAGAATATCAGTTGATGTTTTAGGTCATCAATAAGGTCTTGGTGCCAAGGAGTGAGAAGAGAATCTTAGCATTTGCTACATATTTGTTCCTCATGGAAAAATTGGATGAACTAGAAGCCATCAATCTTCCAGCAATCATGCTTGAACAAATGCACAGGGTGATGACTTAGAAGAATGCCAAGCATGGCATACCGTATGGATATCTGCTGAATCTTGTGTTAAACCACTTTGAAGTACCTCTTGGAAGAGGAGTACCTGGTACTGTCAAGCAAATGTTTTCCCCTGCAACTCTCTTGGAATATGAATGTGCTGAGGGAAAGGTTAAGGGTAAGTCCCATGTGTCTGATCTTCTTGAGCAACAAGCATCTCTCAAGTGGGGGCTGAATGATCTTACTGTAACCTTGAATGCAAAGGAGGTTGAGATTGCATGACTTAAGGCTCAGATGCAGCAGACTATCTCTAAAGGACCTGGTACCAGTTCTGTGGATAAGGAGGAAGTAGAAAAGTTGAGAGCTGAAAATGCACAGCTGCTGAAGATAAATGCCTCACTCAGTGAGGAAGTTTAGTCTTTTAACAAGCAAATCATTCAAGCTCATGTCGATGCTAATGAGCACATGACTTTGCTGTTGAAATCCTTCAACCCCCTCCCCCCTCCATCCTAAATGTGTTATGTGACCCAGTTCTTAAGTCTCTCTATCTTACTCTAGTGGCAAAGTGTACTGGTTTGGCTGATTTCTGTGGTCAGCATAAGTGATCTAATGACAATATCTCTTTTTCATTGTCTCGTATGCTTTTATCTTCTCTATTTTCGCTTGATTGTATTGTGTGACACATGGCCCTGAATACCTAACGTTTTGCATGCAACTTCCATATGTTTACTGCTACTCATTTTCAATGATGTCAAAAGGGGGAATGATTGTAAGCTGTTGTTAAATTAGAGTTTATTGAAAGCGTAAATTGATGGGGGAACTGAAACATGGGGGAATACTATTGATAAGGGGAACTAATGAACTTTGAATGAATGTTAAACTCATGTGAGGCAGTTTGTTTGTCATCAAAAAGGGGGGGAAATGATAAGTATTACTGTTCCTAGATGTTTTGATGATCTCCTTACAAATGCAGGGACCTGG